GCTTCATGGTGAGGGTTTAATAAATGCTGAGTCTAAGTGGCAGCTACTTTTGTGAAGAAAGCACCAAAACACTTTTCTGGCAAAGAGAAGAGCCCATTTACATCAGGCTACTGGCAAGCTTAGAAGCAATACTCAAACATATTTCTATAGATTGGACATAAATTTTTTTCACGGAATGTATCTCAAAGTATATTATAAAAAATGACATATTAACATTTAAGCATAAAAAAATTTCACATTGACGTATTTATAAGATTGGATTCTAATGTCAACATAACTCTATCATTTTAAGCAACTTATATAAAAAATAATTAATGTGATATTTTGACGTATTATATTTCGTTTGTCATTTACTTTGTCTCAAGTACATGCAATTTATTTATTTCTATTCTAGTAAACTTATTTGTATACTAATATACAATATTATGTCAATATTAAGGTAGGAAATTTCTTTAGTGCAATGAGTTACAATTAAAATGAAAAAGTGATGAAGAGGGAGGGGAAGGAGAGGCACAAGGATAATAAAGAGGTAGCAAAATGAGTGGAGAGTGCAAGAAAAATATTTATTACAAGGGAAAAAATCCGTGCCTTACAAATTAGAGTCCTATATGTCAAATTTAAGGGCAACTTATAGGACAAACGTTGTTAATTTATGAGGGTTTAATATGAGAGAGATAATGATGAAACTAAGAACTTTTCCCTTGTACAACAGCAGGCCTTAAAGCCAAGACAAAAACAGTTGAAAGACATGGAAAATTTTCAAATAACAATATGAAGTATTGTTTTTTTTTTCTCTTAAAAGAGGATCTATAGTAGATCTTATTTTAAATAAAACCTAAATGACCAACTTACTATCAAAGAAGACCCCAAATCTTCATCGGCTGGCAATATCGTTCATCTCATGTCATTTCACGTGGCACTTTTGTGCATATAACAAAAGTGGCATGTGAAATGCATGTGCCCGCCGGTAAGCAAGATTTGGTAGGCCGATGATTTTGGTACCTTATTTGAACTTAAGTTGGCCATTTTAAGGCCTTATTTGAGATAATATCCACTCTGAGCTCTCTTTGCAGACAACGGCCCCACTTTAAGCTTTATTTGAAATTCCCCCCCAAAAATAAAACATTTACTTAGAGATTTTCGTTTTCAAGTTATTTTTTCCGACATCATGAACAAGACACACATGCCTGTACAAGTTCCTAAGGTTGTGGGGGAGATCTCACTATTATTCTTCCCTCCTTAATCTACACATTTTGTTAAAAAACAAATCTACATCTTTTGTTGGGAAAAAGTGTCAAAAAAGTTCTAAACCTTTTGTATTGGTGCCAATTTAGTCCTAAACCTTTTTTGGTGCCAATTCAATCCTAAACCTTTTGCATTGATGCCAATTGAGTCCTAAGCCTTTTTTTGGTGCCAATTCAGTCCTAAACCTTTTGCATTGATGCCAATTCAGTCCTAAATCTTTTTCATTGGTGCCAATTCAGTCATAAATCTTTTTTTGAAGCCAATTTAGTCCTAAACCTTTTGCATTGGTGCCAATTCAGTCATTCGACACGTGAATAGCTATTAGCCGGAAGGACTGAATTGACACAAATGCAAAAGGTTTAAGACTGAATTGGCACTAATGCAAAATGTTTAGGATTGAATTGACACCAAAAAAATATTTAGGACTGAATTGACACAAATGCAAAAGGTTTAGGACTGAATTGGCACCAAAAAAAGGTTTAGGACTAAATTGGCACAAATGCAAAAGGTTTAGAATTGAATTGGCACCAAAAAAAGGTTTAGGACTAAATTGCCACCAATGCAAAAGGTTTATGACTTTTTTTGACACTTTTCTCTCTTTTGTTGCCTACGCAAACTTAGTCGCTTCCACTTGACCGCGTGGTAAAAAAATTCATGACCTGATAATAATAAACAACAGAAAATCAGATCGGATCAGATTAAGCCTGAAGGGCACTCAAAGTGTAGGTAGTGAAATTTGTATCAACTAAGGTGAACTGACTCATGTGACTTGTACTTACCTCCGCTGATTCTTGTAAAGAATGAGATGAATTGGTGTCCTTTGGGAATTTGGAGACAAGAATCCCAAAACCTTGTCCCTCAATCTCTCAAGACCTGTCCAAAGAAAAAAAAGCCTTTTAGCTTCCTGCAAGAATCATAACCATTAAAAGAAGAAAACAAAGAGAGAATTTTGGGAAAGGATTGAATGTTATGTCGCCGATGTAAATTGAAGATAAATTGGTGCGATTCGCGAACCCTTTTCATGATAATTTGGTAAAATTAGTTAGCAACATTAATAATCTCAAGGTCAATCAGGATTAGAAAGCTTATCAAAGTCTACCAAAATATACTGTAAAAAGTGGAGTCTTAAATATATGTGGACATATCAAGTTACTCCAAGAGTGTAAGTTGTCTTATGCTCCTGGATCGTGACTCCTTGATATGTACTGATTTAGATGATAAATAGTGAAAAAAAAAGAATTTCAATACCTTTGAACATGAACGTGTACTCGTCGTTCTTGTACTCTTTATCATAAATCCTTCTAAACAATACAAATTTAATAAGTATAATCATTCTATTATGAAAAATTGGAAGTGTATAATATAAAGAAAGAGAAGGATAGGTAATGTTTGGCGAAAATTGTCCAAAAATTTCTAAACCTGTTGCACAGTGGGTAATTCAGTCCTAAACCTTTCGATTGTACCAATTGAGTTCTAAAACAATTTTACGATTTGTCAATTCAGTCCTAAATATTTCAATTATGCCAATATAGTCCTAAACCTTTTGGCGATTTGCAAATTTAGTCATAAACCTTTTGACGATTTGCTAATATAGTCATCTCGGCCAATAGTCAAAATAATAAGTTTAGGACTAACTTGGCAAATCTTCAAAATGTTTAGGACTAAATTGATATAATCGAAAAGTTTAGGACATAATTGGCCGCTGTATAATAGGCTTAGGATTTTCTGGACAATTATTCCGTAAGGATTGTCATGGCCAATGTTGAGATACACGTGTGAGTTATGTTAGAGAAGTCCCACATCGGATAATTGATGTGGTGTTAAGCAGTTAATATATCTAAATTGGCCCATAACTCATTGGCTTAAACTTTTCAATGAAGGTGAGTCCAACTGGATATGTTGATGGGTTCGGATTTGAGCTCCCTCTTGGTGATCTTCCTAAGTGAAGGTATCGGGCTTCTGCTGCACATTCCCAACAAATGATATCAGAGCTAATGGTTGATTAGTGGGCCTCCAATCTGTTCCGGTGTTTGGTGAACATCTCAACAAAAATTCCGGTGTTTGATGAACATCTCAACAAAAAAATCTCATGATCGACGCTTGTTTCGGGTGGAAATTGCCATCACGGTTAATCTGGCGAGAAGTGACCATGGACAGTTGGTCTGGTGACGCGAAACAGAGATCATGGGTGATGTAATCCCAATTTAGCAGTTGATGATGGTTGTTGTGCATAGTTGTGGGTGCATTGCAATGACTTGGAGATTCAAATTGAGATAAGCCGATGTAGAAGAATTCCTAAATTAAGGGGGAGCAAGCCAAACACTGAACTCACATGTGAAGGGGAGATTGTTGAGATACATGTGTGAGTTGTGTTAGAGAAGTCCCACATCTGATAATTGATGTGGTATTGAGTAGTTAATATATCCTAGTTGGCCTATAACTTATTGGCTTAAGCTTTTGAGTGAAGGTGAGTCTAACTGGATATGTTGACGGGTCGGACTTGAGCTCCCTCTTGGCGATCTCCCTAAGTGAATATATCGAGTTTCTGCTGCGCATTCCCAACAGCCAAAAATTTATATGAAGAGAATAAAATATTTGCACGAGACATAATTTATACATTGGGTTCTCTAACTAATTAAACACTATTGATTCCAATTGTGTACAAAGAATTATTTTTCCTCTGACCCACGTTGTAGTTAAGGAACTTTTAAACGGATTTGGAAAAGAGACGGTACAATTGTGGAAAAGACAAAAGAAAGGGAGAAAAAAAGAGAGGAAGTGGCATCATCATAGCAACTTATGTTAGTAGTGAAGTACAATTAATTATAACAAAAGACAAGTCATTAAAGTGAATACTTAATGAATACTCATAAAATATTCATATAGACTACATATAACCCCCGCTTTGCGCAGATTGTATCTAAAAATTTATAATTAAAATGTTACATAAACATTTAAGCATAAAGAAAGCTTCACATTGACGAATTCGTACGATAAGATTCTAATGTTAACATAACAATATCATTTTGAGCAATTTATACTGTAAAATAATTAATATGATATTTTTGACGTGTTATATTTATTTGTTTTTTACAATGTCTCAAGCACAAGTAATTTATGTATTTTCATTCTAGTAAACTCATTTGTATGCTCATATAAATATTAAGTCAATATTAAGGTAATAAATTTCGGTAGTAAAAACGAGTTACAATTACGTTAAAGAATAATGAAGAGAGACGGGAGGGAGAGGAACAAGGGTAATAAAGATAGCAAAATGAGTGGAGAGTATAAGAAAAGTATTCCCCTTAGGGAAAATGATCGTTCCCTTACAAATTAGACTCGTATATGTCAACTTTAAAGACCGGACAGTGTTATTATACATATTTATATAGATATAGATACAGATCGGTCCAGATCAGATATATGGAGGATGATATGGAGGATATGAATGCTTTAATGTGGGTTTAATGTGAATTTCCCTTGTTTTTTTTTGTGGGTTTAATGTGAATTTCCCTTCTTTTATGTCCATAATTATATCCAGTAAATTTAGGTTCAATTTAAGACTAATGCCGAGAGAGAGAGAGAGAGAGAGAGAGAGAGAGAGAGAGAGAGAGAGAGAGATTTATTGAATTAGGAACTTTTCCCTTGGACAACAGGTTGTTGCAAGATGTACAAGAACTTAAAGCCGAGACAAAAACAGTTAAGAAAAAAACATTTACTTAGAGATTTTCTTGTTCAATTTCTTTCTTCCGATATTAGGAACAAGACACCACATGCCTATACAAATTCTTAAGGCCGTTGGGGGCAATCTCTCGAATATTCCCGCTCCTTAATCTACACCTTCTGTTGCCTACAGCAGTTTAGCCGCTTCCACTCAACCAATCGTTGCAAAAAATTCATGACCTAAAAACAAGAAGCAAGAGAAAAATCAGATCAGATCAAATTAAGCTAGGAGGACACTCAAAGTGTAGGTAATGAAATGTAACTAAATCAAGGTGAATTGAATCATGTGACTTGTACTTGCCTCTTCTGGCTCTTGTAAAGAATAAGATGCATTGGTGTCCTTTGGGAATTTGGAGACAAGAATCCCAAAACCTTGTCCTCTATCTCTCAATATCTGTCCAAAGGAAAAGAAAAAAGAAAAAGAGCCTTTTAGCCTCTTGGCAAGAATCATAACCATTAAAAAAGAAAAATAAAGAGAATCTGGGAAGGATTAAATGTTATGTACCTTGAACGCGTCCTCGTCGGTCCGGTCGTCGCCGATGTAAACAGGAAATACGTTGGTGCGATTCGCGAACCCTTTTCATGAAAATTTGGTGAAATTAGTTAGCAACACCAATAATGTCTAATGTCAATTAGGACGTCAAAACTTTTCAAAGTCTACCAAATGACACTTCAAACCAAAAAAAAGGTAGACTTGGATATATGTGGTCTTACCAAGTGACTCCAATAAGAATTCAAGGGCCTTCCCTTTGTCCCACTTGATGGTTGGTCGAATTTCTAATACCTAATATTATTGGAGAAGTAACAAAGTATTTTTTTAGTAGAAGAGCCCAAAAAAAATAGTGACTAAGTTACAACAGGGCTAAGTTAGACTGACTTTTCTTCCTTGAGTCAGTCTAAGCTTCGGGTACTCCTTGATCACGGACCGAACCTGCTGTGCCAATTCAGTCCATTCCTGCATATATTGAGGAGGATCAGCTTATTAGTTCTTCATTCGGGTTGTGTACATTTTGATATAACAAATTAAGGAAAACGAAGAGAAACGGTTACTATGTGTCGCATACTTTTTCGTCAACGCGGCGGAAATGCACGGACACACAGAACTTATTGTTCTCCACCATAGCTCCCGGTGTCAATTTAGTCTTCTCTACAAGTTCTTTGTATACCTGAGGATGAGAAATTTCGCAGAACGCAAATTTACTTATAGCTCGTATCATCATATACCTATGTAAACGACGAGATGTTCAGGAAATAAGACCGACCTCATCAATCATCGGAAGAAACTCGCTGGCCGGTTGGAAGAGAACGGGTTGATTACCCTGAGGAAAATGGAGGTCAGTTTCCAAATTTTCCCCCAAATGGGAAGATATCACAAGAAGAAAGGAGGAGAGGAGAAACAATTGTTTCCATGGTTGAAGCATGTGAATAAGAATATGCAGTCACCTTCTTGTATTTTGAGCCTTTTGCTGGGCCTCTAATGTCCATACCATGGCTTCCTGCGTAGTACAACTCACCCAACCGCACGAAACTGTACACCTGATAAACAATCCATCCACAATCATAATCAGAAACTTGGAACAATCGAGGTGACACTAAAGAATACTACTTGGTAGTGCACGTTGCACGTGCAAATTTCTACATCCATGTCGCGGTTCGCCAATAAGAAAGAGAAGAAAGACAGGAAAAGCTTGGGGAATGCACCTTGTCTCTGCATCTTCCGCTCACAATTGCGGTAGGGAAGCACCCAGCAAGCTTTTTAACCGTGGCTCTCATCTGCGTGATGTAAAAACAACACAAAAGTTGATGTTCTTGTTAGCCGGAAAAGTTGGATCAAAACGCTCGAAATAGCTACAAATGGCGAAGCCGGAGTAGAAAAAGAGCGATGGAGAACCTTGCTGGACATGAAAGCTCGATCGGGGTCATCGACTATCGGGGAGAGGGTCCCGTCATAGTCCAGGAACATCACTATTTGTTTCCCCTGGGAGGCATCGATTATTTGCTCGAACTTGTCCAGAGCCGAAGGATGGTGGTGCTGCTTTGGCAAAGTCGAAAAAACAGCTGAAGTCAGATCAAGCCAGAGACCAAATCATGTAGTAGGAAATCGAAACTGCAGCGGCCGATTGCGTGACTGAGCGGTGTTCAAACTTCTTGTATTAGTGAGATTTTTAAGGAGACGAATGCTCTCTAAATTTCAATCCTGCTATTTCTTATTTATTTATTTATGTTATGGTACCAGAGAACGAAAGAAAATGAAGTTGTTTTGTTGTCTCTCTAATGATTGAGAGCAAAACAAAAGTAGTGTTCTTGAGGCTCCACCACCGCTCTGCTGCACCAACACAACTCTCACACTTCCCTGCTGTTAGCGATATTAGGATATTTACACCGACACCACGACCGATGTGATATTAACTAGGCGGCCCGCACGCATCTGTGTTTTTTCCCGATTTTTGGAGAATAATATCATATAAACGAGATTTCACATCTGAACACTTTTTAGTTCGAAAGGGATCGATGGAAACCCGGAAACAACTCACCATCCAAGAACTGTTGTTGTCTTCAGCCAGAGAATGCGGGGACTTCGTATGGGTCGGGGAAGAAGCTTTCATCGAGTCGACCCAGGAATTGATCCTCTGAGCAGTATTGACCTCGAGGTTCTTGAGCAGCTTCCTCCTCGAGATCTTGATGAAGCCGCTGCCGGGCACGACTGGCGGCTTCTGCAGAGAGGCGGTGTACATTGGCAGGGAGGCGGTGTACAAGTTCGTCACCATGTCGATGCCGGAGCTGCCGTCGCTGCCGCAGCCGGCCACATTCTGCTGGGTCATCCCCATAAACGTCTCTTCTTTTTTCTACAAGCAGAGAGAACCCACCGAAAAAAGTTCAGTTTGGGATTGAGCCCAAATTGAGGAGGGAGAGAGAGACAGAGAGACCCAAAGGAGCTAGCTTCCTTGCTTTTTGATCCTTACCTTTGTTGGAATGGACTTAGGAAGAGGGAGATGGTTTTGGAGGACCCTTTGGAGTACCAAAGAAATCGCTCAATCCAGAGGCTTGGAAAGAGCAATGGAAAGAGCAAACAGCAAGCAGAAACACAACAGAGACTGAGGGAGAGCGAGAGAGAGAGAGAGAGAGCAGAGCAGAGCAGAGCAGAGAGAGGTGTGTTGTGTGGGGGGTGAGAGAGACGGAGGAAGTTGGTGGATTTATAGTTGGAAGAACGACACTAACCGACGAGAGAGAGCCAAAGCCACCTCCCAACGCCAACTCCAACCCCAACCCCAACCCCAAACTCCTTTAAAATTGGTGGGCCCCATTAAAGGCAAAGGTGGGCCCCACAATGGGACAGAAAAAAAAACAGAAGGAAGGAAAAAAAGAAGAAGAAGAAGGAAAATCCTTATTGATGGGGGTAAGGGTAAGGGGGAAGGAAGGGGACTTGTAAAACTTCTCCATTGACCATGTCCCCGCCATTTGTTTTCCGGCCGTCAACGTTACAGCCGTCTCCTCCTCCTCCTCCTCCTCCTCCTCTTCCGGACAATTTTCTTTACGAGAAATGCTCATATGGCCGTCCTTAATATGCCGTGAGAATAATAGCCCCGTTTTTGGGCCATGAAAGAGAAAATAACAAATAATTAGAAATTCTTATTTGGTCTACTCCTTTAAGAATTTATGGCTCACAACGTACTGTTATTTTAAAAGTAATCCTGAAACTGTTATGTTAGCAAAGGCCTGTTTTTTGAGAAAATTCCAAATACGGGTCCAAAATGTTCTCATTTTCTCAAATAAGGAGATGAAGTGGACTTTGTGTCAAATAATGGCATGAAGTAGCTATGAAAGTATCAAATAAGGGCCTGACCTCGCCGGTTGCTGGCCGGCGAATTATTCCGACCAGTCAAGGGCATTTTCGTCCAAAAATAATTTTAATTTTAATTTTTTTCTTTTTTCCTTTCCCCCCCCCCCCCCCCCCTTTTTTTTTTTCTTTTTTCTGGTTTTGTTTTTGTTCTTCGCCAGTGGCCGGTTCCGGTCGTCGGTCGCCAGCCACCGGTGAAGCCCTGGAAGGGCTAGGCAAGAGTCGCCCTTGTTCGATCTGGCAAGGGCCACCCTTGCTGGCCACAAGCGAGGCCGCCCTCGAAAGCCATAAGCGAGGGTCGCCAGATCTGTGCAAGGGCCGACGGTCCTCCCGCAGACCTGGGCGAGGACCGGCGACCCAAGCCTAGACCGGGGCGAGGATCGGTGACCCTCACCAAATCTGGGAGAGGGTCACTTGACCCTCTCGGTTATGGTGAGGGCCACTAGGCCCTTGCCTTTGGTCTGCAAGGGTTGTCGGCCCTCGTTGAGGCACTGACAACCCCGCCGCCCCACTAGCGATGGGGCGGCAGCCACAAGAGGGGGGAGGGCTGGCAGCCCTCTCCTTTTTTTTTCTTCTTTTTAAATTTAACTTTTTTTTAGTTTGTTTTTTATGGAAAACAAACACATAAAGAAAAAAAAGAAAGAAAAAAAAATCAAAAAAATTAAAAGACGAAAATACCCTTGACTCCGGTGAAGTTAGGTCCTTATTTCAGATTGAGATAACCACTTCAAAACCTTATTTGAAACAAGATTTACTTCGGGCCCTTATTTGAGAATTGAAGGCACTTCAGGTCCTTATTTGACACATGGTCCACTTCAGGCATTTATTTGAGAAAATGAGAGCACTTTGAACTCTTATTTGGAATTTTCCCCTGTTTTTTTTTTTTTGCAAGTATAATGCTATATAGACCTCCTCAAATCGGTGTACAAAAAATCGATTAACAAGATTATGCGTGATGAATTTTGGTGGGGCGATCGAATAAGATTCACTCATTTAAGTAGTTGTGGATGACCGATTGATTTACTTAGTAAATTGATTTTTTACACTAGTCTCAACATCCGTAGATTAGACATCGTGATAACTTGTGCGAGAGATCCGCTATTATTAGTTATTGCAAATTCGCTCGTATATAAATCGCTTAGTGATTCTATGTTAGTACCGGAAGAATGCCTTTTATCTTGTACTCCACGAGAATTGACCATTAGATTTGCTTTTGAAAAATATAAGCCATCGGATTTAAAATCTTTCAAAACAAGTAGCCATTTTATAGTTTGCAACGTTTTTCGAAGGCCTACAACATCATTTCGTAGAGCGGTTCAAAACAGCGTAAATATTTAAGTTATATGATTTTTAAGGCTTACGGCGTTTCGTGCAAATGATAAATATTATAAACAATGTAATTCTTACTGTTTTCCTATGATGTTTCGTTGCAAACCATTACAAAGGATCATAGATACTCAAATAATGTTGTTTTTATAAAGTGGACATCTTATAAAGGTTTACTATGTTTAAAAATGTCGTAAATATGTAAGAATTTTATTGTAAATATGCTACGACAATTTACAAAGTATTTCGTCATAAATATGTAAGCTTTTAAATTATACTATTTTCAATATTTTACAATGTGTTACAAAGACTAACAATGTTTTGTGGTAACGTAGTTCAAAACATCGCAAATAATTTGATATATTAATTTTAATAGTTTATGACGTTTTACAACCGCTTAAGATGTTTTTCTGTAGGCCGATTGAAATTCAATATATAGACTGATTTAAATGTATACACTAGTTCAAAATAAAGTTTTTGTTGTAATTATTGTCCAGTTAAAAAATTGGCAAATATTACTTTGGTAGTATTTTAATAAAAACAGACGAAACGATTATTATTTCTCAATATATAAGGAGATGCATGACTTTCTTTTTGTTAAAAGAAAATTTCATTTATTTGTCATAATCAAATCTTAAAGGAACATAAAAAACTTCTAAGCAAAGTCAATCCCAAAGGAGCTGCTAAACAAAACAAAACTCAGAAAATAAAAGAGTATAGCATGCAATTACAAGTAAGCTCTAAGACCAGATCTATCACAGCATGAACAAACAATCAGCGGCCAATCACCGGAATCATCAATGATGGGCAAATGCTCATATCTTCCCCTCCAGAAAGTTATCAAGGCATGAAATCAAGGCTTAGAAAAAAGGCTTAGAAAAAAGACTTAATAAAAAGACACATATTAAATCGGGAGAAAACATGAAATCAAGGCTTAGAAAAAAAAAAGCAGTGCAGATGAAGTTTCTTTGAGGGAGGGTTTTTTTTAGAAAGAGAGGGTTGCCGACAGAGAGATTGGGCTCCAGATTTGGAATGTTTTGAGATACATGGCTTCAAAACCTTGTAAAGACACAAAATGTTTGTCCAAATTTAATCAAAGTATTAATCTAAATATATCTTGAAGATTAGAACCACCACCATTCATGATGACTATTTTGATTGCTATAAATAAACGTAAGTGTCCTCTTGTTAGCCCAAAAAGATGATACTTCCCATCAAAAGTTGCCATGATGAAATGCTAATGACTTTCAAACACAACGATTACACATGTAACAAACTATATATTAGGATTTTCAAGTATTTTTGACCCTATCACAACTCACCAGCCAACATTACCAACAAGTGGCCATGGTCTTAAGAGACTACCACCCCTAGCCACTGCAGCCGGAACCGGTCACCACCTAACCACAGTAACCATTATTACCACCACCTTTGCTCGTGTCCATTTTATGTTGATCTAACTCTCACTTGTCTCATACATTTTCGAAAAGGATATAGACTCTCTCTCTCGATCTCTCACGATCTCGATAGATGAGGTGGTGTGCAATAGTTGCAACCTCCTAATAATAGAGATTGCAGCTATTGCTATCGATAACTGGTGTTAATCGATCTCAAATCTTGGGGTCACCTGAGGTTGGCAATGTCGGATATGGGCTAGCAATCTCAGGTTTGAGGTTGTGCCGTGGAAGGGGGGTCATGAGGGAGGGAGGGGGTCAGGATGGCACATGCCGTGGCATATCGAGACAACATCCACAAAGTAGTTATAGTGATTTCTTTCTCAGAAAAGGACAATAAAAAAAGTAGAAGGGAAAACATGGGGTAAAAGAAAATGAAATGGGCTTTGCTAGCATAATAGTCTTTGGATAACTGTGAAAATAGTGACATGTTGTGAGTTATAAATTCTGAAGGAATGAACTCCATGACAATTTATAATTATTTATTATTTATTTTTATGGTCCAAAATATACTTTTAATCTCATAGTAGATTAAGGACTCGCACTTATTCATTTCTCAAAAGAAAAAGAGAGGGCGAAATAGATTTGGACCATCTAAAATGCCCATGGAGCAATACGACAATTCTTCCAGGGTAACTGCACACGAAAGATCCTCAATCTAGAAAAACATAAAAAAATAAGTGGTGCTTGTGGACAATTCAATCCATAAATATCTTTTCAAGATTCTTCAAGTATAAAATGTCCCCAATATAAATGAACAACTATCATATTTTCTTCACCCATTGAATAAAAAAGTACAATCCTTGAGACTTTGTTATAGAAGAGGCAGAGCCAATGATGAGGAAACTGTGAACTTTTCTAAAACTGAGGACACCCAGAGGTTTTGGGATTGCTTTCCCTCAAAATGGATGTCAACTGGATTTATGGACCCGAAACCCACCTTCACAAGTGGTTTTGAGCACCAAACCTAACTTGAGGTTCCTATTTATAGCAAATGGTCCCCTTAATTTTACAGGCCTTTAGAAACGCCCCCCGTAACATCAAAGAAAACAGCAGCAATCCAACCTAACCCGGACATAACAAACAAAACCAGCTGCGATTTTTTTCTCTTTCCTATTGTTAGTTAGTTAAATTCACCATCATTAAAATTTTTAATAATCAACACCCTCTTATTGCGCCTGATTCATTATGCATTTCCCTTGATTAAGTTCTGATATGCCTTAAGCACACCACTGTCAATGGCCATATATCCATCATTGTCGTTGTAAACAATTACAACTAGTCACGGAATTTATGACCTTTTTCATGGCTCAAATTCTACCAAATGGACAAAGATATATGAGAATATGGAAGTGATGTTCATGGGGTACTACGTCAATGTGTGACTACAGAAAGAAAGATGAGAATCGGATTTAACTGTACGATGTTGTTCATATACTGCCTATTGAAAATCATTCACCACATGAAATCAACACTACGCGTGATTAAATAAGGATAACGTGCAAGTGATGTAGACATATAATATAAGTGCCCAGTACAAGTTAATAGCTGCGAGATAGCTC